GAATTTACCCATCCAACTTACAGAGGCATGTGGCATCCACCAGTTAGCATGTAAGCTGACCGCCTCGACAGGTTTTCCTTAGAATTCACCGGACTCCACCGAATGAGCTTCTAAGACAAGGTGAATTGTTCAAATAGTCGTTTGGCAGATTCGAAGTTTGTATGTCGATTGTGAAAAGTTGAGTAGCGTCGGTGGGATTGTAAGCGACGCATGGCCAGCGCCTACGCTTTGTACGCGCATGCTCTACCAGGTGAGCTACGAGGCCACACCGATAGCACTGATCTGTTTCACATTCGAATTTACCCATCCAACTTACAGAGGCATGTGGCATCCACCAGTTAGCATGTAAGCTGACTGCCTCGACAGGTTTTCCTTACAATTCACCGGACTCCACCGAATGAGCTTCTAAGACAAGGTGAATTGTTCAAATAGTTGTTTGGCAGATTTGAAGTTTGTATGAAAAATGTGAAAAAGATCAGTGCTATCGGTGTGGCCTCGTAGCTCAGCTGGTAGAGCATGCGCGTACAAAGCGTAGGCGGTATCCATGCGTGGGTTCGAATCCCACCGAGGCTACTGAACTTTTCACAATCGACATACAAACTTCAAATGTGCCAAACAACTATCTTCACATTTTGTCCAAAGATTAAGATGATGCAAAAACATATTAAAACAATTATTTCCCGAAATTTATACTTGAATAAAAACAACATCAACAACAACAATAAGATATCACAATTAAGCAGCATTTATTCACCGAATCATTTCGCTACATCTCAAGTGATGCTTATTGCCGAAAACAAAGTGCTTTCCGTATCACGGGTGATATGTTAGACTATCATCATCTATGGATAAGTGTATCCCAGTCCAACTGCTTCCGTCTAGACAGACTTTGTATACAATCGGATGATAACAAAAGGGAGCGTGTTCGGAGTTTTCTGCGGATCGCGGGGTGATGTGTACTGCGTTTGTTACTGGCTTTATTCTCCACTGACTTACCGAAACAGATCAACGTTCACAGGCATTAGATTTCCCCACCAATAAATATGGCGTATTCGGTCACAAACCGGATGAGGTTAGTCCCATTCAGACCGAAGGTTTTGTCCAGGGGAATGCTTATTTGTACGCTTGCCAATGAGGCAGCGTGAGGGGTTACATTAAGAAAATGTGCCCGGTTCAGAATAAGTACAACCTTACAAATGGACAATGAACAAAATGGTTTGCCTTTAGTCGGTTACTATGACGTTGTATGGGGTCAACAGGAGTGTTACAAGGGATGAACAACAGGACTGAAATGACCAGAAGACTAACAAAGGTCGTTTTGTTCGCTACTCTCCCCCCCCCATACAAAAGAGACAGAAGATCGATTGGAGCAATAAGTTCTTGATGCCATCAGGAGTGAGTTGATGCGATACACTGCAGTATGACCAAATTCACTCAGTTACTAACTACCACATATTCCAGTTTATTCGATCAGCGAACTGAAAGCCCACGTCGCGATTAATATGTAAGCAATGATCTAACCGGGAAAAAGGTCATTCTGTTCACATCTCATGTGCTATTTTTTGGGGGGAACCGGTAACTCCAGCTATCGGTACTACTATATTCGTGAGTTTTTCGTTCGATTTGAACCGAACTTCAATTTATCAAAAAGTGCTTCTCGATTCTTTTATCCCCGTAACCCATCGGTCATAAACACACACACACACACAGAAAGGACCTTTGAATAGAATACATTCTTTGAAATGCTTTGGAGATACCTTTGACACAGTTTTAAAGTAGATATCTCATATTTACAACTGTGTAGAAAAATTCTCCGATTATTTTTTGAATTGCCAGGCCTCAAACAGTTCATTTCGCGTTTGGTTTTTGTCAATCTGCTTTACCGTATTCCTTATCTTATTCTTCCCTCACGGTTTTTGCTGGTCTACTTAGGGAAGATTTCGTAATTCTTCGATGTGGACTGGCGATTATCAGTTGTCTTTTATATATATATATATACTCTGTGATGAGCTATCTACCAAACTGTGAACTGCACTTGTTCGTAAATNTCGTAAATGAGAAATTTGCACAAAAAAACCCTTTCGGACCACACTCATTCTTTACATGGCGATCTATCCGAACACCACTCTCCCACTTCAACGCGATTCATATATCGTGTATTATCGTCTACAGAAACGTGCCAGTTCACTAGAACACTTACAAACTGGCAGCAAGTTTCTACTGAAACTCAAGTGTTCTACTCGTTTTTTCTCTCTTCTTTTTCATCAGACAATGCGTAATTTTTGTCTCCTAGCGCATGTCCGTGCAACAATCTACACAAATACAAACCATCGATAACCGGCAAATATTTACGAATACAGCAGCAATTTCCTCTCCTGTCTTACTCATTTCCCGTTTTGTACACCACCCCTCCCTCAAAGCTTTTAGGCTTCATTACCACTTGGTTTATCTGTTGTATGGAATCGTTCCCTTTTGTCGACGATAAATATCTGTCTGATACTGCGGCCACGCGTGGTTTTTGCCTAGGACGGTAATTGGTGGAAGGAAAACCAGGGGTGTTCAGAATAAGACCTGCTATGAGGGTACGCAAACCCTGACCAAGAAACTTGCTCACATAGACCAAGTTAGACTTCCTGGATAGGGACTTCGGGATCACGGTAACTCGTAGTGAGAGACACTGAGTGATATGGCTGAGTGTCGTAAACAGTGGCGCTCATGCATCCTCTCAATATTTTTGCAACCTTAGACCACTGAAGTTCTCCATTTTCTGTTCGACTCTACTTTCAACTTTTCTGTCTTCTCCTACTGCTTCATCCAAATAGACAGCCAAAAGACAGCGACCAAAACCGGAGCACGAAAGTGCGTGGTTAATGGTTTAACAAACGGAAACAGATAGTGTTACATCAAGAAACTGAATCGGGTCCGATCACATTCCTGTGTTTGTGTTCGACTTCTTCATGGTCCCATTCGGTGTTGATTTCATATGATGAGCCTGACCGGGCCATTCTCGGAGAAAAAGTGGTTACTCAAAGCGTGCTAATCGCAACAGATAAATGTCACATTCACACAGAAACCTAACCGGTCAACTGATGCGTCAAGGCAACAGTGTTCAGTCAAACTGGATGGAGTGGAAAATAGCTCGGTCTGTTTTTTCCCAGGGTCGAGAAAAAGAAGAGTTCTCAATCAGGGCAACACGCAAAAGAACTTGTTTGTACCCGGGTNCGTGACTTTATGTAACTCTCCGCATTTACATTTTTCCATTCATTTTATATTCAGATCACCGTGTTGTATGGGTGAAATGTGGAATAAATCGCATCTATGTGATGTATCCTCCTTCTGTGAACTGCCTCAGTAACACTGCGCCAATCCCATTGATTCATGATTGTTACGTATCAAGCGAAATGCGAGTGTTCACATTCATAAGCATGCTCCTGTCGTGTTCCGGACTGAACAAGAATTACATTGTTTTTTTGTTCTCCTCCGGATCGTATCGATCGATGCACCCCGCATCGATGTTTGTGTGCATCTCTCGTGCTGTCTGGTGATAATATCTGTTTGTACGCATATTGCTTGTTGTCTATCCCGAGGTCGTAGCCCTCCGTAACCCCAAATACCTGTCTAAACAGTTGACACAACAACAATAGTAAATGACTTCCCAAGACACGTTATTGTGTACACGGTGTAGAGCGGTTATGTAGATT